GGACTTCAATTAAATTCATGTTCATCTTATATGCCATTACCTATCTTATTTACCATTCTATATCTTCATTATAACTTCTCCCCGCTTTCCACTCTTCTTAATTCTATTTTATTTATTACATCTTAGTTTAAATCATTATATTTGTATCTTTTGTCCATTCTTTTCCAATTATCTATTTATCTCATTCCCTATCGTAAGAGGAAAAAAAAAAGATTTCTCCTGAAATCACTTATCGAAGTATGATGCCTTTCCATCGCACCCCTAAATTAACATTTAAGGTAACACCTAGTTCCCTATCTGATTCTGCTTAGTACATACTACTTAGAGAAAGAAAATAATAAATCCACAAAGTAATTAAATATATAATTAAACATTAAATCTCATAACATTCCAATTATCTATCTCAAAAACAAATACTACAATAATATATTCATACTAACATCCACACAATAGTCAATTGAACTCTATACTTAAACTAAATATTTTAAACATCCCTTTTAATATTTTTTTAAAGTTATTAAACCTTTAATGTTTTAATCTTTACTCAAGTCTTATAAGATTCTAATTTTCTATTTCTAATACAGATACTACAATACTATCTTGTGTACCTTGCAGAATCCTAAAACAAAGTTATATTACCCTTTATCCCTAAAAAAAAATTTCTTTTGCACATCTTGTTTCATACCTTTATGGCTTTTTTCCCCCTTCTTCCTCCCTATCTTATCCCATCTGGTCTTTTTACCCCCCTTAACTTCCCCTCTCTGTTGTATTTCTCTTTTCTTTTGCTTTCTAACATTGTATTGATTTTGCATCTTATTTTTCACTTTCTTGGATGTTTTTTTAAGTCTTATGTCCTTTTTCCTTCCTCTCTTTCTCCTTCCTTTCTTAATCAACTTTGTAGATTCATTAAAGATGGCTTCTTCTTCTTCTTCTTCTGCTTCCTCCATCAATTGTTGTGTTTTCTGATAAGTAGCAAGCGCCATTTCTAAAAAGCGAAAAATTTCTCTCACAGTGTCTTTTTCTTCTTTCTTTATTTTGCCATATTCCTCTCTCAGTTCATCAACAGATAAAGTCATTATAAACCTTTTTTTTCTTCTTCTTTTTTCCCTTCTTTTTCTTCTTAAAACAACCAAGATATCAAACAGTCCAAACAGAGCACAAAGTTCTTCCCTTCACACTTTTTCTTCCTGGGGTAATATCAATTGAAAAGGGAAAAAAAAAACACCAATCTGTATTTTAGAGTCTTATTGCAATTAACTTCCAATCTCAAAATCTTCCAGGCATCTCCTCCAACAAAATCTTAATATAAATTTTCCTTTTGTCCTCTCCCTTCCCACTTATAACAGAAAGCTTTAAATTTTTACCTTCTATAAAATAGCAGGATTTTCAATATCCATTTGTTAAATTCATGTGGAAGGAGAGTAAACTTTCTCTTGAAGCACTTTCACTCGCCACTTGTAAATCTCTTCTGGAAACAAAGTATCTTTCAAAAAATCAGGATTTTCAGGATATTAGTTGTATTTTATAGTCCCAGTTCAGCCAAAAAACTTTTGCTTCAGAACTTTCTCCTTCTTCCTCCAGCACAATCTTATCCAGCTGCCAGCTTCTTTGTGGCGGCCATTGCTGACCGCCGCTCCACCGCCTTGAGAAAAGAGGGTTAAGCCGGGTGAGGAAGGGGTCTGCGAAAACCCCAACCCCCTGTCCGGATCCCTCCTATCTTCGGCTGCCTCTACGGGGCAGCCTTAGCCTCCAGACCTGTCCGGATCGGAGGCACCAAGACGGCTAGTGCCGCAGGGATCGCGCAGTATCGTGAATCCCTGCCGCTGCCGAAGCCGACAAACCGGAAGTCGCCCCCTTCCAATATTCTGCCTTTTTTAATCTTTCCTAAAACATTTCATTCTTCTAGGAGGGATGGGTGCTAACTTTCTACAAGGGGATGCACTTTAAGGCAGCAAATACACCAACTTCACTAGTACAGATGGTCCTCAATTTATGATAAGTTGTTTAGCAACCATTTTAACTGCAAGTTACTTTCTGTTGTCTGCAAAACCACGCCATGGTGAGCAATGGATTCGCTTAACAATCGTGGCATTCATTTAGTGATCACTGCAAAGCAGGTCGTAACATTGGATTGATCACAATGTATGACCCGTATTGGGCAAGTTCCATTATGGCCGTATGTTGAGGACCACCTGTAAGCAGTCAGAAAACTGCAACAGAATCATTAGCTAAGTTGGATTTGGCTTGTTGTCTGCTCTTCTATAGAGCTTTATTCATTGCTTCCAGTGTTTATTGGGTTTTTTAAAAAATTAGGTTCTTAAATTCCTCATTCTACATAGACTAAGAAGGTTTTTTTTCCATCTTGCCTCATATACACATACTTCTTAATTCTGAAACATTATTCTGGAAACATAGCAACCTATTAATGTCTCACTGCTTTAGGCTACATAGAAATTAAGCTTAATTTCTAACCACCCTTTTCCAGGCGTCTCTGGTAATATATATTGCATTCAAAAAAATCTCTCTCCACCCTTTCTCTCTTTGGCTTCTCTTCCATTTTTACCCAGGAATCTCTTAACAGTTAAAGAAAAGAAGTGGGTGGTTTCTGACTTTATATATTCTATAGTAAAGTGAGGATTTTTCCTCTTGTACAAATTCTGACTTGAGAATGCTCCTGAGAAATTGATGGATGGTGTTAGAAGTTGGGCAGATAATTACATTTTATGATATCATCTTCCTAATAACATGACATAGACTCCCAAAAATAGTAATGGAAAGGAGTTTGTTGTGAAAAATGAAATCTACCATTGTTTGTAAGCTACCGCAAGCTCCACCTATTATGATACTAGATTCTAGCAGACAAATCCCGTTGTTCAAAGTTGCAGAAGACTTCTTCTTCTTCTTGTGCCATATCCATCATTGGACACTGGCGATCATGTTTAGCTATCCTATTTTTATCAACAGACGCACGAAAAACTGCTGCTAAGTTTTGTCCCTTAGATTTTGAAGCCACGATGTTCTTCTACTGCCTGGACCTCATTTGCCTCCAATCTTTCCCTGGAGGATTAAGTGAAGTATGCCGTATTTTTCCAGGTGTCGCATCACATGTCTGAAATATTATAACTTTCACTTTTTAATGGTTTTGATGATTTCCCACCCCTATTGATGGAACCGTGTAGCTCAGGGTTGACATAAGGGGTCTTTAGTGCTCTCTGAGTTTGGTTGTTTCCTTGCAGACGTTTCATTACCAAACTAGGTAACATCATCAGTTACTTAGCTTAAATGCTTACTTAAACTGAACTGAGATAAGCTGCCTGCTGTTATCCCCCATTTTAAAATTCTGCTGTGGATTTTGCACAGCCTGAAATAATTGTCATTTATGCTACTTTCTTCTCTCTAGAGGGGATAGGAAAGGATGCCCCTTGAGGGGTTTGAAAACTTTCTAATATATATGTAGCATTCAACAGGATGCAAAATATTTTAGGTCAACCTGCACTTTTTTTTCATTTGAGAGAATTTTCTTCATTCTTCTCATATTTATTGAATAGATTTTTTTCACTGCAGTCCTTCCACTCTGTGCGGCATAAAACCATAAAACATTCACAATAGGTACATTATTGCATTGTGAATACAATAATAAAATCAATAAAAAATTCAAAAAATGCAACCCAAAAATATGAAATGAACAACCTTATTATCTAAATATTATTATCAATATATAATATATTTAGATATTGTCTAACAAATTTAGAAAGTAGGTTATTTCTATTTTATTTTCTTACCGCTTGCTCAACAGGTATAGGTCAACACTAATTTCCAGGGGAGAGCTATTCCTCATGGAGGCCATGACAGAAGAACATCTCCAGACCTCTGATTTCAGAATAGGAAGTAATTGTTATCATTACATGTGTATCATATGGGTCAATTCTAGTTGAAGTCAGTCCTATTTTAAAACCAATATTTTAATTTCTACCCCAAAACCTACTGGTAACTAATACAGGACATTCATAATCAGCCAGATAACAAGGTGATATCTGTTCCATTTAAAACGGTTCAAATAATCCACTTACGTGGGGTACTCTCTAGTTATTGCTTACAAAAAGCAAAGATTGGAGACAGGACAATGGTTGTCTGATATTACTGAATCCAGGGAAATCATCTTCAGGAAGATGTCAACTGCAGCTGCAGTTGTGTAAGAGTGTTGTATAATAATACATTGTTATCTTTTTTTGAACAAATCAGTGGTGCGTTTCAAATTTTTTTACCACCGGTTCCAGGGGTGGGTTTCTACCGGTTTTGTCCACCTCTGTAGAACCAGTAGCTCTGAAGAGCAGCAGACATAGTTCTATGTCTGCTGATGTTTTTGCCCACCTGCCCACCCGGGCTCTTACCTGAGTTTTATTTCCTGATTTTTCAACTTCAGCTGCCGTGCGAGGCACAGCTGCAGTTAAAAAAGCAGAAAAAGAAGGCTGTTTCAAAGGCTGCTTCTCTGCACGTAGTGTGCTGATGACGATTTACAGGCGCGCGCGCAGCGTGCAGGGAAGCACATCATAAATCACCAAACCTCGTAAATCACCGAACCGGTAGTTAACCCTGTCGGATCCCACCCCTGACCGGTTCGGTGGGCGTGGCTTGGTGGGCACACTTTGCGCAGGCGCAGAGGCGTTCCGACTCGCCTTCTGCAAACCTGCACTCTCCCTGTCGCTTCAGTGGCTGACATGCAGCAATCTATTGTGCCGCACAAAGCAGCTGCACTTCAAAAGCAGGGAATAAAAGTTAGTATGGGAGCCCAGGTGGGCCCAACAGCAGAGCGTAGGAGAGAATCGGTTTGGTCTCCACTGCTTGTTGGCACTACCGGATTGGTAGAACCGGGCCAAACCGGTAGAATACCACCACTGGAACAAATGTAGATTTTGGATAGCTAAAAGTGTTACAAATATGGGAACCTAGGTTTGTAAACATTGCAAATATTACATTGATATGTATCTGTTTTATTTCAGGGTCCATACAGGGAACTGACACCAATACCACTGCTGCCCATTTAAGCTCATCATCAATAAGTAATTCTTCAACAACAGGTAAACTTCCTTCTACTTTCATCTCTTTGTCCTGCAACCCACTTCAAAATGTATTTAAATTCTTCTTTTTCCATTTTTTTCTTTTTCCAAATAAAATATGTTATGAATAATCACTCCTGGAAAAGAGATGCTAGAGTAGGGGTCTCCAAACTTGGCAACTTTACGACTTGTGGACTTCAATTCCCAGAATTCCCTAGCCAGCATGGCTGGCTGAGGGAATTGAAGTCCACAAGTCTTGAAGTTGCCAAGTTTGGAAACCCTTGTGTTAGAGCCGCCACCATTTCAGGGCAATTTCATTTTTTTTTCTTTTTCTTTAGGACAGATCATGTAACAGAATGTTATGTTCTCTCTTGTCTTTGTTTTTTTTTCAATTGAAAGATTGAGATCAAAATCTGTGGTTTTTATCTTAGATATATGGGCAAATCCCTGTCAACCAAGGGGATTTATTGCACTGGCTTTCAAGAGCTAAGAGAAAGGGAATCCTGTGACTGAATACTGTTCTTTCAGAGTGGAGAATAATTCCTGGAAAAGAATAATGGGAGTTGAGTACGAATTACTAGAAGCACATTTCTTGATCTCAGAAACTTTTAAGATGGGTAGGCTTCAACTTTCAGAATTGCCCCAAGCAGCGGGGGAAGCTGGGAGTTGAAGTCCACATGTCTTAAAGTCATCAAGGTTTGAGAACCTCTGTTCTGGGTAGTGCTACACCTTTAAGGTAAGAAGTTACAAAGTCCTAATGATACCAGTGACGCTGTAATCATGCTTGAGTATTGTATACTTGCTAGGATCTGTACGCGAGGTACAGAACTGGAGGTACAGGTTGCTGTGGTTACCTGCCTTGGATGGAGGTTTGCTTACAAGCTATCAGAGAAAGAGACAAAAGCCTGGACCTGTGACTTAATAGAGGCACTTTCTGTTCTTTTCTGGCTTTTATTTCCTGGAGCAAAATGGCGGCATTTGAGAGAAATTGTTCTTGTTTTCTGCAGGCGTAATTAGACCTATCCGTCAAGTAACAATCATGTTCCTCCAAATAAGTATTTATAAGAGCCATGATGGCGCACAAACTTTTTTAAGGGCAGCATAGCAAGCATAGCACCATGGAGATGCTGCAACGATCATAAGTGTGAAAAACGGTGATAAGTCACTTTTTTTCACTTCCGTTATAGCTTTGAACGGCATCTACAGGGAAGATGCCATTCAAAGCTATAACGGAAGTGAA